ATCCTCCTTTCAAGGAATAAAACTGGGTTATAGCAGAATCGGGAACTAGAATCTTGCAAGATCAATTGGGAGATTGTCTTTTCTTACATTACCTTATTTGTTTTATATACCTTACACAGTACTGTAACAATATTTTCCATTACTGTGTATATTGTTTTTCATTTAAACAATTCTTGAGTCAAATGTGTTTGAAAAATGAATATGTATTTTGATTTTTCAAACCTTTTAGTATGATTTGAGAAGGTTTGTTATTCAATGACAAAAAAAAAAAAATTGTCGAGTAGCTACAATACTGGAACCAATGTTTGATGGTGGAAAAGTATGCTAACTTGAAAATCAATTGGTACTGTTGGTAACTGATGTGTTGGAATATACATTTGAGAAAGAAAAGGGATCAAGTTTCTTTCAAAAGTTAATCCTCATATAATTATAAGTTTATCATAGAACATTTTGGTTCCTGCCATCTTGATTTTATTCTAGTAGAGTTCCTCTCATCCCATTTGTCACTAATATTCTTACAATAGTTTATACTTACAGAAAGAAGGATTTTGTGATGTGTTGCACAGGGTGTCTGACGGCTTCCTGATTGGAACATGGAGCTATTCTGTGTTTTCAAGAGATTCTCACATTGAATCCAGTGGCCTGTTTTTCAGACTGGGGATCTGATTGATTCTCCTCAGTCACATTAGGCAAATGCTGGCACATTACTGTGAACTGTTAATGACATCTCAGTTTCTTTACTATGTATTTCCTCATGATCATTCTGTCATCATTCTATCATATGAATTCAAATTGTGGTTGTGGTATGTATATGAATGAAGGGATGTCAGAACCCCTTGAGGATCCATTTATATGTGTAAGTAAAATTTAAATATATAATGTTAAATTGATAAAAGTTTGTCAAAAACATTACAAAAATATTGTAGATTTTTATTATCAGTAAAACTAACAGAGGTTTGTATGTGGAGTGGGTATTAACAGTTTCTAGTATGGTGTAGTGAGATCAAAACTTAAATTATTGATTGAAGGATTATCCAGTTATTAAGTTCATGTAAATAAATTTTGACTATATACCAATTATAGTCATAAGTTTCATAAACATGTTTTTGTAATGTGTTCATAACATTAGAGTTCTGGACTGTTTGCCACTACATAATCTTTGACCATTGAAAATGGCACCAGAAGTGCCAGTATTGTCTGGGCAAAATGACCTTTGCATTGGCAGGATGTTTGGTGGTGATGTCATCAAATGGGATTCTCCACATGGTTGCATGGATGTGTTGGTGATTTCCCATCCAGTCAAAAATGTTTGTAGGTCTTTATGTAAAATGCCTGTTGTCCATTTTTAACCAATGTTAGAATGTGTTGACAAAGTTTAATTAAATTCCTCAATATCCGATTGCATTAAAATCCATACATTGGTTCTAGAGTTGTTACGTGCAGACATACATATGAATATACAGACATGACAGAGCTAATGGACACAATTGCATCTTTTAGTTACCATTTTTAATAGTATATATAATGAAAGTGGCTGTCTTCTGGGTTGTAGTGCCATGAAGTCTGGTAGAAGTTTATCAACATTTCAGAGGTCCTTGCTGCATCAGTCATCAGTGTCAGGGAGACAACAAGAATCTTTGAAATGTTGGTAAACTTCTACCAGACTTCATGGCACTGCAACCCAGAAAATAGACATTTTCATACTCACTGCCATGAGAAGCTCAAATTCTGCTTAGTATATATAAACCTTTAAAAATGTATGTCTAAACTATTCCAGTTGCTGTATTCCCAAAACATCAGTTCTGGATTGCAGGAACTCCTGCCAAGTGGTTATTGTTGGCGCAGGCATTGCTGGTCTTGCAGCTGCCAAAACTTTGGTAGACAATGGACTTGGTGACATCATAATTCTAGAAGGTGAGCAAATTATTTTGACTTATTGAAATTTAATGTTGTTCCATCTAAGGAGTCTTTCCAGATTTTCCTTTATGGTAGCTGTAATGCTGAGTATTAAAGAAACATGACCAGTGAGTGCTAGAATTTGAGTTTCATTACTCAGTTTCATGGCGTGTTATAAGTGACATGAATGCATTGATAGTTTTCTGTAAGAAAAACACAGACTGCAGCTAAATCATATGATCTTAATGTTTATACAGCACAGGATCATTCAGGAGGACGAATTAGCTCCATGTTCCTTAATGGAGGCTGGATAGAAACTGGAGCACAGTGGATCCATGGTCAAAATAATGAGGTTTGGAAACTTGCACATAAGTATGACTTGCTCTCAACTGTTACATCATCCGAGGGAGAAGGTAAATGATTTATTGAAACGTTCTTCTTTTCAATTAAAAGTCTTATATAAGTAACAAATGTGAATTCAACTTGCACTATATTTATGCATACATAGGTCACCAACATATGTATGTCTCGTTTTTGTTTTGTGGAAGGAAAATAGTGAGATCTACATTGAATTTTTGTTGTTTTGTGTAAAATCACTTTTGTTTTCAGTCACTGTAGTTTGTGACAATTCACTGTATGGACAAAATTTCATGAAATAATGTATTCAAGAAGTAAGATGCATTTGTTTTGGTCATTTAAATTTTATTATTTAATGAACAAAGCTGTCCTGAATTTATATATATATGTGTATATATTCCTTTTTGATTTTGTTAAAATATTATATATTAGGCCTATCACTTCTTACAGCTTTGTTTATAGCCATAGGATGTATGTACAGACTAATGGGATACATACTTAGATAAGTGCACTGTAAAAGAGCACATATATAATATATTTCTTAATTAAGAGAAGCTTGAATTGTGTATGGTTCCATCTTTGTTTTCTGACAGAAACTTTTGAATAAAAGTACCTATACATTAAAAATGGGGTAAATATGTCATGTTAATTCATGTAACGCCGTAGAATACAGGTATAAAGCTTTCTTTGCTCAGTTACATAAAGCAGAATTATTCTTGCCTTTCATCTGTTCAAGACCTTCCCAGCCATTTGTGAAAATCCGAAGCTTCATTACTGTGTTCACAAGAGTGTAACATTAGAGCCTGTCCTGAGGCCAATGAAGCCAGACCACATCCTCACATCTATATCCCAAAGATTCGTTTAATATTGTCATCACATCTTTTTACGAAAAGACTATTGTGCATTTCTGATATGGAGCATTGATAGCTCACTCAACAAAAGAACTGTCTACAGTGGTCAGGGTTCATTTTCTGTAGAGGTACTACCACAGCAAAAATGATTTTTGGCCCACTCGTTTCATTCACTAGATAAAATGGATTCTTTCTTTAGGACTAGGGTGTGCAGGTTTCCAGTCATCTTCAGCCAGCTCCTTATTTACCATAGTTGGTGGCCAGCCACGTGACTAGCTTGAATTGGATGTTTAATTATTTACTTGTAGGTATATACATCAGAGAAGATGGAGTGGTTTTTGACCCAACACTTGTTGAAGAGGTTTACCGAGTGGTAACTGAAATATTACAAGAATGTGAACAGTATGCAGATGGTTATTGTGATATGGAAGCAATACCCAAATCTATTGGTCATCATCTTAAGCAGAAGTTTGAACAGTATCTAGATAGTTGTCATGGCGATTCAAAGGAGCAACGATGCATGAAGGTGGAACTGTATGATTGGCATCTGAGGTAATTGTTACTTTAATACAACATGTTGAAGATAGAAGAAGCAGAATTTACAATTCATACTTAATTATAATTGTGAGAGAAATATGATTGGTGCTTTGACATCAATTTTTTGTTTCAAGGAAGCTCTGTAAGGGAAATGAAGAGAAACAACTTAATATTTTAAATACATATTTAGCTTTGAGGGTAACATTAAAAATAATATAATACATATTCAGAGATTAATGTTTAGGTTTTGGTATTTTGCTGAATATTGATTCAATACACAGATGATGGATGCATTTTCTCATAACAGTCAAGGGGCTAAATCCATAAGTGAATTTTCAGAATTGTTTAGTTCTGCCTTTTGTATAGAAAAACTTTGAAATAGTTGGAATAAAATTCATGAGAGTGATATTCTTGCTTCTCCTCTTTACATGAAAGTGTCATGTTTTAGGTCTCCAGAACATGGTAATTCTAAAAACCGTTTAGAATGAGGAAACTCAAACTTCCATGAGTAAACAAAATAACGTTTTGTTAATCTGCTTCTTCCATCCATGGCAAGAAATTTTTTCAACATTCAGGATGGTTCATAAACATTATAGTTTAACTTACATGAATTTTAGATTTCAGGTGATTGACAACTCATGCACGATACTAGATAAGCTTTCTGCCAAAGCTTGGGGGAACTATTTGTTCAGTGGTGGGAATGATTATGTAAACTTCAAGAAGGGCTATAGCTCTCTGATCAGGGCCATAGTAGAGGAACTCCCAACTGGAACCCTGTTTCTAAACAGTCCTGTAACTAAGGTGAAGTGGCAGCAGAACGTTAGTTTGCAGGTACCGGATGACACAGTTTTGGAAGAAGCTTGTAAGAAACTGAGGGGACATGACGTGAAAAATCCTTTTGGCACTGATATGTATAGGGATACAGTGCCCCGGTCTTCTCATAATGGCATTGACTCAAAGGTTATGAAAAATATAGGGAAATCTCCTGTGACAGTTTTGTGCAACAGTGGAGCAATGTATACTGCTGGACATGTCATTGTGACTTGTTCTCTTGGCTGCTTGAAGGATAGCTGCAAGACGATGTTTGAACCTGAACTGCCTCGTTCTATGATCCAGGTAAATGAGAGTGTTCTAATATGAAGGAAAGTAAAATACTTTAGGCAGTCATTGTTTAACTTACATGTAGTATTGGTAACATAAGAAAAATATTAATGCATAAAATAATACTTATGAATTTTACCTCATTTATACTTTGCTAATTTATACAATAAATTTGTGTCCCAATAATCACAGCAGACTGCTGTAGCTGTGTATAATAATTGGTAATATGTCATTTTGTCAGGCTATTGAAGATATGGGGTTTGCTGCAATAAACAAGATCTTTCTTGATTTCAAAGAGCCCTGGTGGAGTCCTGACATCAAAGGCTTTCAGTTGATTTGGTCCAAGGATAATAGTGTTATACCAACATATAAAGAGGTCAGTATGAAACTGGAAGTAAGTGATATCTTGTATTGCCTTGTTGCCTTTACAGTGAAACTATGAAAGTAAAATATAAAATGTTTCTTCAAATTATGGGCAAGAAACTGAGTGGTACAAAAGGGTTTGTAAATTCAGTAATATTTTCAAGTGTAAGAAGATATATGTGTATTTTTAGCGCTCATCTTGGACTCAAGACCTTACTGGTTTTGATGTTGTTTGTGGACAAGAAGGTGTTCTTCTGGGCTGGGTTGGAGGAAAGGGAGCTGAGTTGGTTGAAGACTTGGCAGAGGAAGAGATTGGGCAACACTGTACAGATTTGTTGAGAAAGTTCACACTGAATGAATATATTCCTCTTCCCCGTCGAGTGATAAGGTAGGATAGCGGTAATCCTGTGTTAATTAATACTTTTGATGCATTTGTCAAAGTGGTCCTTTATTTATTTGCAGTTTAATTAACATCACTTTCAGTGGCTCAGACTATATAATGTCAAATGGTGATAATGATTAGTGAATAATGAATGGCAGTGGAAATGGAAGGAGGTAGTTATGGCTTAATTTAAGGTATCTGAACATTTTTATGGAGGGACTAAAGAAAACAATGCGGAACTTCAGGATCTTCAAGTAAACTAATGCAGACAGTAATAGACATGCTTATTTAGGTGGTGCATATTTGTGATACCTGGTAATTAGATCTGATTTGTTGGGAGGTATGACTTTATTAAAAGTCTGGCTGCCCAGTAAGATGTGGGATGTTCTTAACACAATTTCTTACTCTATTCTAGGAGTCAGTGGCACAAGAATCCGTACATTCGTGGAGGATACAGCAACTCAACAAGTCTGTGTGATGTTTCCAGCAGAGGGCCATCAGACCTGGCAACACCTGTGTGGGCTGATGTGTGCTGTGGGGATGTACCCACTGAATGTAGGGTATGTGTAGTATTGCTACATTTAGAATAGAATCATTTCAGTATATAATGCTACAGACTGATTGAAAGGTCATGCAACCCATATTAAAATATTTATTAATGGTTGCAATTCAATACAGTTTGACTATACAAGATCCCACACAGGTCATGCCATTTCATAGTCTTTTTGCACCAATCCATCACTTGTCTTTCAACAGTTTAAATGCAAGAATGTATTTTTCACAGGTACAATGAGTGTTCATTATCAAACACTACTTGTCATCCTGTTCTTACTTAACTTGCTAGAATGAGCTTAGGGATACTTTTTCCAGTTCTCCTGTGCCAAACAAATTAACAATATTTTGTATAGTGAACCATTTCTTTGGCAAAGGAAATGTGCAGGACATAAACCATTCCTGTCGGCCTTTGGTGTTAAGTGATGATAGTTTGGACAGTATCCAACATACTTCCTTATGTTCCACAGAAATTACTGAGAAAGCACTTTCTTCAGAGTGGATTTTCCCTCAGAAGTTTACATAAGGCTACAAAGAATTTAAAACTTCATCCATGTCATGCACAAACTCTTCACTGGGTACCATGAAACACGAGGAAAAGAGTGAATGTAAATGACGTGTCCTGTCTATTTTTATCCTTCTTGATTTGATTACCTTGTTAATATATCTTTAGATGTACAAAATATGAAGCACTTGATCATGTAATTTTCTGCAGAACCTTGTTACATGCAAATATTCCTCATGAAACTGTAAAGAAAATCTATGCATGGATAATTGGAAACTGAATAATCTACACTCGCAGATAATTAAGAATTTACTGTACACCAAAAAAATGTGTTTATTTATTCTTGTCATATTTCTGACTTGCATGTTAGAATTAACTTGTACAATTTGCATTAACTTGGAACAAATGTTAATCAGTTAACTGCTGATTTTTGTTTTCAGTATCCCGTAGTTTTGCTAGCGGGGGAAGCGACCCACGAGCATTACTTTTCCACAACACATGGTGCATATGACACAGGCCAGGCACAGGCTAAGGTGATTTTAGACTATCTCAAAGGTTAGAGACCTTTTTCCTTATAAAAGACAAACTAATTAATTCATAGATTCTTTTATGATCACTTATGCCAGTGAATTAACAAACTTCCATTTCCCAGTTGTAATTCTGTCCTCAGGAAGTAACCAATTGCACAAAAGAAGTTTGGATTACTCCTTAGAATCTTATCTCATATGAGAAGTTTGTTCTTTCCATGACATGTAAAACTGTTTGGGCTTTGTCCATTGCATAAATTATAAACTATAATGTTTTAGAAACTGGAGTGTGCTTCTGTCTTCAGGTATGAAAGCGGGGAAGAGGACAAAGCTATCAGTTGGGCCCTCTTCTCTAAACTAGCCTCAGAACTGGACCAGTTCAGGTATCCAAAGTATTACAAGTTATCATGTGCCAATGGTTCAAATTTTGGGTTGGCAATGGGATGTTGCTCCATGTGATCTCATAGAAACGAACAACTTACTGCCGCCATCATCAGGGCAATGAGTCTGTTGCTCTGAAGTTGGAGGCAGTAAGCACCTCTGAAACAACAGGTTCTATGGATTGCATGGCTCAACATTCCTGAAGACAGTCATCTTCATACTCACCAATATGAGAATATTATCTTGCCACTCTTTGTTAAATTTTAAAATATACTTTTTCTTGTGCGACAGCATTTTTTTATACTTAATTTTATATATATTTATATACTGTAAAGTCTGCCAATGCAAGAACTAAATCATGTATGTATTCCTGGAACTACAGAGTGTTTTGTTCTGGTGTAACTTTGTGCTGCTTTTATAACTGTATAAGAGACTCTCATTATACTAGTTTTCACTGTCCATGTTTTATTTTGGTATCATGAGAGGTGTCAATATTCTCTCCATTACCAATTTTTAAAGCTTCTTACCTTTTGTTGAAATGAGCCGGGATAGCTCAGTCAGTATAGTGACTAGCTACGGGCTGGATGGCCGGGGTTCGATCCACGATGGGGGCAGAGGATTTTTCCTCTAGCCTCTGCGTCCAGACCAGCTCTGGGGCCCACCCAGCATCCTCTACAATGGGTACCGGGGGTAAAGCCGGCCGGGGCGTGATGCCGACCACTCACCCCAAGCGCCTTTATGGCACGTAGCGGGACAAACTTTACTTTCCTTTTACCTTTTGTTGAACCTTCTCTAGGTTTATCAGGGAATGTGATGCAGGTGATAAGCTTAGCATCAGAGAATTCTGGCACAAGCTTAACATCAAAACAGTGATTGTTTTGTGTCCCATTTTACATGTTTTGAACAAACATAGTGATTTGCAGGAATGTGACCTCCATGTATAATGAGAGACAACTGTATGTATTTTTAAGTAAAGGAAAACACTGTGTATAAATAGTGTAATTAATGATGTAAGCGAGTGATTTTAAAAGAACTGCCAAAAATACTTTTTATATTCTGGGTTTAATGAGGATAGTTCTATTGTTATTATTGACGCTGAATGTCATTATATACGCTGTGTGTGTAGGTATATGTGTACGTTCATGCGTGTATGTATTATGTTCATGTGAACTGAGCTGATTTTTATCCCTCATGTTATTTAACATTATTTTCTTGTATTGTTTTGTAAATTATGATACTGTTAAACTTTAAAAAAGTGTGTTGTGTAGTCATTATTGTGGATGCCTTGTCCTGTGTTGCATAATAAATAATGTTTTATTTCACTGAATGTGCAGGGCAGAAACGACAACAAATTAAGGTAACAAGTAATAGAAAAGAAACAAGTGAAGTGTCTGTTCTTGTGAAGTGCATCCGTGTTTGTTTTCGTGTTCTGTCAAACATTTAAGCGACCCATATTTCACTAAGGCTTTTTTGATCTTTGTGATTATATTTGTTGCTGTGTTGATACATTATGGCAACCGAGTTTGCTGTAAGTGAGATTTCAGGTTCCAACTGCAATGTCTATGAAGATGACTTTTCTGGGTGGTTGTGCCATGCAGTCTAGTAGAAGTTTTTTGCCATTTCAGAGGTGCCTACTGCTTTCATCATGAGGGTGATTACTCATCTGATGATGGTGGGTGATGAGTAGTTGCCGTGATGATGGAGTTGGTAAACATTTTTGATCCATTATAAAATTATTAAAAAATACCAATGTCAAATATGATAAAATATGAGTTAATGCCACTTAAACTTTGTGAAGTTGCTGGTTGAGAAATGTTGCTTTAGACAGCATGCTACTGACAATTTCACACAGAACATTGCTTGCAATACAGTGATGATATGGCAGATTTTGCATGATGGGGGCATGACACACTGGAGATGATCCCTTTAGTCATATAGAGTGCTTCAGTGGAGGACATGATTTAAGGAATATTATAGGATGATGTGATAGTTGTGAACTGGTGGTAGATTTTGTGAGAGGTGTAATATAAAGATTTCTGTCTTCTGGGCTGTTGCGCCGTGTAGTACGGTAATGTCCACCAACGTTTCAGAGGTCATACTGCCTCTGTCATCAGGGCGTGAAAACCTCAAATCCTACAGTTGTAATACACTTAACTGGAGAAAAAGTGAGTATGGAAGGAATAATTTTGTGTTGAGGTTAGGTTAGTTTAATTGATTTCAAATTTTCTCATAAAATGAATGGGCATAGAAAAATAGCAGAAATGCATTTGGTTAAGTTCACCCAGTGCATAAGCTGACAAAGCGCTGCAATAAATAACCCACGAAACTGCAGTTCTCGGTTCGCGAATTGGCGACAGACGACACAGGATGACTGTCCGTTGTCATCATTTAAACTTCAGCGTTTGAAGTCATATTTGAATAAATTTACTGCAATTCATGTCTTAAGCTAAACGTGTCGCCAAGTCATCGTTCGCAGGCTTCAAAATCCTGTATGAAAGCACCCTACATCTTCGATGACGCGACTCTGTCGTATTCCTTGATGTGTCGATCTATCGTTTTAATGACATCAATAAATGAAAATCTGTTTCCGTTCACAGTACGTGCATGTGTGTGTGTGGCTGTGGCCAAGCTACGTTTCAGTTTCATGAAGTGGTGCTAGTTAAATATAGGGGAGACTGCATTGTTTTCGAGGACGAAGATTCCGAACTTTGTGATACTCCTGGAACTTAAAGGTAGGATCTAATAAACATTTAGCTATACTTTAAATGTCGTGTATAATGACAACGGATTTTTAACTCAATTAGATTTATCGGTAAAGGCGTCAACATAAATATACAGCCTGTAGCCGCCATGTTCCTCCGAAGCAAGTAAACACTTTATTCATGCTGCCAGACCGGAACACGGTAAAGCAGTGTGGAGGGATTGACTTTAAACGACTTAAAAATGCACTATAAATATTACGCTATACGTACGTTAGGTTAAATTACAGTAGCCACAGTCAATTCCCAAGTACATATATGTATTTAGGTATACAATTACATATTTATTTATCCACTGGTAAGTTCATACAACAGACAACATAAAGAATGTGCTCATTATCATCATCATCATAATATTTGTGAATTGAAACTAGCTACATTAACAAAGTGGTAACGTAACCATAAGGGTCAACACAGCTTATATTAGTCTCGCCACTGGACACGTTTATGAGCCAGTTCAATCCGTATCATACAATATACTTCCTTGATCAACTTTAATAATATTATCCCATTCCTTTGGTCTTTCAAGTGACCATTTTTAAAAGGAGTACCCAAAAAATATTCTGTATACATTCCAGGGATCTCCCACCCTCAAAGCTCTGTGTGTGTGAATGAGGAAATTGAAATCAAACACCTAGAATTTTCGGATATATACATATATAAATAAAGTGGGAAGAGGCAATTTATTTGGATAGACCAACAAAGTTTTGTAAAGTGTGGCTCTTTAGTTAAATCAAACCAAACTCGTGCAAATGACCACATCGCTCCATGTAGTGTTTTCCTGTTGGAACTAGTCTCAAAAGAATACGTGGCATGATATTTGCACGAGAGCGAATCTGTTCTTTTCTGTCGCAATGCTACGTAACGGAGCGATTGGCTGGTAGCCTATACTACCGACGCCTGCGTACAAATTGAAGTGAGATTGCGTCCCTATTACAAATAACACAGACGCTAGTAGGGAACGCACGAGAGTAGTCTTGTTTGAACGAAGGAAATTCTGCCTCCGCGTATTACGATTCGCGCGTAGAACTTCCCACTTACTGAATTAGAATTAATGCTTTGTATCGTCGGAAATATTTGTACTTAAACAATGAATGTCTGCTAAATTTGCGTTATGAACAAACTGCTTTTTCGAATGAATTTGTTCTGATTGTATAATTACTTGTTGGAATACTGTTGAAATTTTCATTGTAATTGTAGAATCTGTCCACAATGCGTCTCAAAGATGCGAACCCAATTCCTGACAAGGTGCTGAATGTAATTGCACAACTTTTTTTGGGTTCCAAAAATGATACAGGAATGGATTTTAGTAAACCACATCTTCGACCGTCCGTAGCTCGCGTCTTCCCTCTGTTTGTGTTTCTGTATACGTTGGTTGTGATAGTGGGCACTGCATCCAATCTTGCGGTGATATGGACTGTCATCAAGCACAGATTATACCGAAACCCAACATTCGGCTACATTATCAACTTGGCCATCGCAGATATCGTCAAATGCGTCCTTGTGTTACCTATATCACTCACCATTTTACTGGTCCAGAATTGGATCTTCGGGAGTTTCCTCTGCTACTTCTTGCCCATGTTACAGGTAGGCAACATCAGAATACTTAATAGGCCTACGTGTTGATTCATAAATCAGCTGTCGGCATACTGTTAACTCATACTAGACCGTATGTAATAGTTACGTATGTTTTATTGATTGCACGATTATGATTATTTTCTCATCTACATAGATTACAGCGACTAATGATTACGTGATTTTTAATCATTAATGAGAAACAAAGTGGAAGACAACGGTCTTGGCCTGTTATAAATATAAAATTTCCTTCATTTGGTCATCCTAATAATATTTGGTGAAGCTTAGCATGTTACAGAATTCCTCCAAATTTAGTTTTCTTCACATTTTTGTCATTTCATCCTTCTCGCAAGCATCTTGTTCTCAGCCATCCTTAATTTATGTTCTTTCCTGAAAGTGAGAGACCACGTTTCACACGCGTACGAAACAAGAAGTAAAATAATAGTTCTGTATGTTTTAGTCTTTACGTTTCTAGGTAGCAGACTGGAAGACAATTCTGAACTGCATGGCAGCAAGCATTTCACGAATTTAATCTGCTTTAAATGCAAATTTTATCTGTTACCACCATTTCCGCATATTTGCCACATTTCTAAAGAAAATATTAACTATCCACCGTTAAGAAATAAAATTAGTGTGTCCTAGCACGCAGATTGAGAGTGCAGGGATGGTTGTGGTGTGGGAGCACGTGGCCTTGAGCATTCTACTACTATTTATGTGTAACATCAGCTTTCGCTCGAGTTGTGAAGCACTTGTGGGCGGTAAACATTCCGGTGTGTTGATATTATATAACGATTGAGACCAATATTTTATGTTCATTTATTTGGCGACATGTTTCGATATAATTATACAACCCTCAGGCCAACTTTTTGCATGTTATGCCAACTGTAGGGTCAAAATATAATCAAATGAGCTAAGGTTAAAAATTGGTGTTACAAAGTGAAATAGTAAAATGATGTTGAAAGTGGCTAAAGTTTAAAATAAAATCATGGTTAAATGTAACACAGGTTAAATCAAAGCCAAACAGATCCACCCGTTACATACAATGTTTACGATCATGTGAAAGGTTGCGTGTAACATAAACAACATGGGTTGAGTACGTGTGTGTGTGTATATATATATATATATATATATATATATATATATATATATATATATGCCTCACACGGAACGATGACGACTGGATCGTGAAGACTGATGTAAAGTTGTTGAAATGTCGCCAAATAAAGAAACATAATAGTTTTGGGACATAAAGTATGTTGAAGATTTTAATTACTACACAAAAATATTCCTGTTTATCTGCTGCTTTGTGTAATGAATAATGCTGTGTGTGGCTCTATATAGTCCTTCATTTCTGCCTGTTAAGTTTTGATGGAAATCCCAGCTTTCATAAAACTCGGTAGAAATTTAAAGCCATTAGAAATGAAACATGTGGGACGTCTCTGGTTCAAATCTCAACCAGAGACCGGCTATATCGACTTAGATTTTTCGTGTTTCTTTTTAGGCTGTCAAGGCACGATTCTTTACTTCTACGTTACCTGTAATTAATTATTCGCCAATTATAGTACCATCTACTCTGTACAGTCCGACTTAGAGCGTCCTTAAATAAATCATAAGTAATAAATAAACTGTAAACTGAGGTGGCGAGGGTAGTATTAAAACGTGAGATTTCAGGTTCTCAAGGCAGTGAGTAAATAATGGCTGTCTTCTGGGATGTTGTGTCGTTTAATACCGTTTTACAGGTGCTTGCTGTCTCCATTTACCAGGGCGGTGATATTCAATATTAAATACCTTCTTTGGAAGAAAATCTGCGAGGATGCGAATTTGATTTAACTAGTCAGAATCTTACCCAGCGGCGGAATGTCGCGTTAGGATTTATTAAATTCCGTTCACAAGGAGGATTATTGAATTTGAAGATTTCTGTCTGCTGGGTTGTTACGATTCATCGCCCTGATGACGGAGGTAGTATGACCTCTGAAACGTTGGTAAACATCGACCAGACTACACAGCGCAACAACCCAGAAGACAGAAATCTTCATACTGACCGCTGTGAAAACCTCAAATCTTACATTATTGAATTTCTCGCTGACTTCAGGGTGTTTTGCTGTACTTGAAATATATTGGCAAGAAACACGTTTCGGACAGACCTTACAAGACTGTCCATCGACTACAAATTGATTTGTTTTCCTTCGCCCTGTTATTGGATAAAATGAAACCGAGGTAAAATCTTATTTTGAAAACAGTGACGCAAATAAATAGGGTTTAGTATCTCTTTGCTTTATCCCAAGAGACTTGGTGTTGATTATTAGTGAAGCTGAACAACTCTGCAATAAACACTTTGTGACAATAAATTGGGAACAGTGTCTTTTAAACAAGTTTTCACTCGACTGCGTTTTATGCTACAAGCCATTTTAAGGGTTGGTTAGATTCGTAGTCGATGTTGATACAAAAGAGTTATACTTACAGATCCTTTTCGTCTTTTGAAGAGATTGGACGACGCAAAGAGAACAAGGGAAAAAAGGAATAGGCAAATTCATCGCCACAGTGACGTAAGCAGAAAAGTGAGGAGTGTCACAGATTGATCTTCTTACGTCTCAGACAGCTTGATCGTGTTGTGAAGTAGGGAAGTCTATCCTCCGAAACTGTGTAAAACAAGAAGAGATTAGAATTCAAAAAACTGTAATACCTGGTAGAGAAACTTGGTCTCTGACACGTAAGAAGAGAATCTGAAAACAAGGTTCCAAGGAGAATATTTAAACCAAAGAGATAAGACATAGTAGGATGACTGAGACATGTACATAATGAGGAGCTTCGTAATTAGCACTCTTCACAAAATACCGAGTGTCCATAAATTAGCGGACGAATTGAAATTCCTGTAATCACTTATGAAAACATACAAAACATTTGTATACTACGGAATAGTCACACGAAATTAATGTTTTTTCACGTGTGGTTACGAAATTTGTACATAAGTTTTATAAATAAATAATTATACGTCCTTCAAATCGTCCGCTAATTTATGGACACTCGGTATTATTGAGGGAACTAAGTCAAGGATGAGAAAGCTGAGATGAACGAGCATGGAGGGGGAGATAAGAAACAGGTACATTTTTTTCGGAAGATCTGAAAGGAAGAGACTATTTGGGAGAACAAGGAGTGGATGGGAAGGTAGCATCATGAGAATTTAGTAAAATATCTAGAATTTGGATTGTGGACCGAATTAATGTGACTCAGGATAGGGTCCATTGGCGAGCTTCTATGAACTCGGTAATGAAATTTCTGGTTGAAATAAGGAGGAAACATTTCTTGACCAGATGAGCAGATCCTCATGAAACTGAGCGCAGATATGTTTTGCAGTCAGGAGTTAGCCACTCGTTTTCCATTGTCCTTGTCTGAGCTTTTATATCTGTTATTAATCAGGTGTAGGCTATACACAGTGTGTCCCAAACAGATGTATGCACATTATAATACGGAATATTAACTTTGTAATTGATCTACGTGTGTTGGGTTTACGAGGAGAACCTAGTGTGTTCTACACTTGAAAGATAGCATCGCTTAATGACGGAGGATCGTTTTCCGAGAAACTCAAATTCATTGAATGTGTAGGTACTTATGTATGTATATGTGTATGCGCAATTTCAGTCCCTTCGTCACGCATAGATTATTCTCACATGTACGCAGTAAATACATACATTAGCAGGCACACGTAAGCATACTGCCTGGAAAAAAAACAGGGAAAGGTCATGCAATTTGTTGCTGTGATAAAGATTCTGGCCAAGAAATAAATTAAATTAATTTGCATTTGGACTCTTGTATTTCGTGAAACGAAGTTTACTTTGGAATTCGAAATTAAAATTGAATTTTATTTAATCGCTTTCTTTAAGTAATGAAACTTTAAACGTTGAAGATCTTTTCACGGATTTAAATTGTTAAGGCTGCCTACAGCTTGAGCAATTTCAACTCTTCTGATTTAGTAGAATCGTAAATATTTTTTGATGTAACAAAGTAATTGTGTTTTGTAGCGTAGAAGATGTATTAGCAATGACGTTTTCTATTTAAACACGATGTACTTTAAATACGCTTACGCCATCATTTAAATAGGCTACGAACATACTGAAGTTAATATAATGAGATATATCTAAATAATTATAAATAATAAGAAAGAGAGATATGTTTATACAAAATGTTATTCGTTTTTTACCTGTAATGTTTAAATTAACATAGTCAAGTAGATCTACAGGAAAATCTGATAATTTTACATGAATTGAACTACCTAGAATAAATAGAAGACATTACATCAGTTACTCGTCAATGTCAGTGGGCTTATTGGGATCATTTTGAAGTCGCTGATGTTTTATGTCACATTTATCGCCTGTTTAAGGTCTAATGAACGCATAGCAACTAGTAACAAATTAACAAATAATTTCGATAGGGTGGTTACAAGTTGCCGGAGGCAGAATATGTTCTGCGAATATCAGTTGGATCATGCAGATTTAATAATTTGAATTCGAATTTTTTGTATATTAATTTCGTGCCGGCTGCAAATTTTAAACTTCTTTCACTTGCCGTCACCGAGGAAAGGTTGGCAACTCTAGCTTACGGTCTCTGGTTATGTAATTCTAATGGAAGCTGTCATTTTCATGGACAAGTGTGACGTGTGTTCTGTATATAGAAATATTCTTACGTGGGCAATCAAGTTAACGTTTTTGTGTGTCATGATTGCTGTCGAAATTCTGTGGTTGCACATTAATTAACCGCAATGCAGATTTCATACAAAATCCTACACGCATTTGCTTTGACACTTCAAGTGAGCCGCCTGCCAGCACAGACCACTGGAATGGAAGGCTGTTTGGAACTGTGGGCGACACAAATCTCATGAGTATTAAAGTGGATTGTAAATTTGGCTGTTGTTTTGAAATTTCAAAACCAGTCTATTTTACGTTTTCGCCTGACTTTACAGAGAGGGTGAGATGGTTGCAAAGGGTTTGTAGCACGCATGGGAAAGATTAAAAGTA